GAGTTATATGGACGTAAAATCAATCTTCACATCACACAATATCATAAATTTAGCTTCCTTATGTCTTGCCTTACCTTTTAATTTCTTTCTTCAACAAAAAAAAAAAAAGAAAAAAAAAACATTGGGATTGACCAGGAGTATCAATATTGACATGAGCACTAGAACTAGACGTAAAAATTCGAATTATAGGTTAGCTCATATAAGATTTGAATCAGATTGAAATCAATTTAACTAATTCAAATAAATTGAGTCAAACTCGGGTCAAGTAAGTTGAAGAATAATGACTTCATAGACTTGAGCATGTTTTTTTATGCTTTAATGAAAAACTCAATAATTTTTAAGCTCTTATTTAGGATTTAGGATTTATACTTTTCATGCCTATACGAGATTGTTTAATATATATATATATATATATATGGAAAAGCATATATATATATTATATTAAAATTTAGGCATTAATTTATTAATAATTCGTCAAATAATTCTGAATTTTCGAGTCGAATTGAAACCCTAAAATTCGGGCTTTAAGTGGAAATAAATGCATTGTGCGCATTGCTGTGGTACTTGAGCAAACCCAAATTCAAGAATGATAAAATGCGTACATATCATTAGAAAGCCTAGTTTACGAATCTCAATGTCAATCCAATGGAGAAAACTACTCCACGTCAGCTCCGTACTCAAAAGCATTCTAGCTTGACTCTGTCGTCCTCACCTAGCCGTTGACTGCTTGACCAGCAACGATGCGGCCAAGAATTTTGTCAGGAATATAGCATTTACTTAATTTCGGTCCGTGCCTAAATTAGTCTTACGCTTTGACGTGTTGCAATTCATTTTTAACCGTTCGATCCAAGATCGCGCGGTCTATAATGGATTATTAAACTGCCTAGGGGATGTTGGGGCCCATTGTACCGTTTCGAAGGACAATCCGTGGGGCCCGCGGTTGACAATTGGGGGATGCATCTGAGGGACGAGATTCCCTCGTGATATAAAAAAACAGAAAGGCCCGTCAGAGATCTCCAGTGGTCCGGTCCAGAGATATTGTCCGTACACGTGGCAAGCACATCCGACGGAGAAAAGCGCTCTTGGCCCCACCGCTCCGTACCCGGCCCACTGCGCCTGACTTTGAAACGGTCCGGAGGGATGGACGAAATAAATAAATCGTTTATTAATTGCGACTACAAAGATTTAACTCCGGGAGAGATTGATTAGGCGTCTTTAAAAGTGATAGCATGACAGTTTATCATTAACTTCCGCTCTAACTTATGTGGCATATAGTTTATCAGTATGATCTATGTGACCAACTACTATATGTGTGACTTATAGATCATGCGGCTCTCAATTCTGAGCCTTGTTGGACATAATCAGAACTCACCATTGCGACCAACTATGACTTTCTTGATTTACAACTCATGTTGTTTTATACTACGACCTATGTAGTCAACCAATACTGGTGAAACAACAAACTTTGGCCCACACGAATTTGCTAAGTGCCCATAACTAGCACTAATTACCATGACATAAAACAAACAATCTTATCCTCTCTTATTATAATATCAGTGTCATAGGATGAAATAACAAGTAGCTTATAGCTATTGACAAAAAAACTTCAAACCATCGTATAAGAAAAAAGTATACATTCGTCTTTACTATGGTAATAGTGGAGACCTATAATTTTCTAGTTGGTTAATAATATTAGGATTCTAATGCACCTAGGATGACGAAAGTCATTGGCATTAGAACCGAGAAAAGTGGGGAGTCCTTTCATTTCTTGCTGATTAGTTGTAAGAGATTTCTTCTTACGACAACACACCTCCTCTTAGGTGGGAGGCTCAAGCTCGAACTCATGTTCACTTGGGCCAATTGGAGAAAAGTGACTTGATTTCTCTCACAAATAACTTGATGAATGTTGGAATGGCTGACTGTGAGGTCACAACTCCTCCTTCCTACCTTCCTATAGAAGACTCCCCCTTGACACTGCTTAATTTCACTCATCTCGTTATCCTATCATCCTTTTAGTGATAGGCACCCAAGCGACCTGCAACCTATAAAGAGCTTTTAATGGGCATTGCAGAAGTTTTTCTCTCAACAAGGATTAGCTTGCAAGTATTGATTCTTTGGAAAATAATAAATACCACATACACAAAATCAAACATATATGCACCCACCAGATCTTCATCGACATGAACCACCAATGGCTTCTTTTAGCCCGTCACTATAACAGCTTCAAGGTAGGCCGATTTGATATGTTCAGCATCTCAGCCATTCTTCTTCACGTCTCAAGCGGTAGTAGCTACATCCCACTCATACTGTTGAGAGTAAGGGGTTGTCCAAAAAAATCTCCTTCATTAACCTAAATGCTTATGGTTGAGGCACCCAATCAACAATTACCAGATCTAAATATTGGTGGACCAAAAGTTGTTGCCCTTTGACCCCAGTGTATTCCACCAGTACCCAATACAATGTCTTCTTCTTTAACTTGACATGAGGGCCTTCAGACAAAACATTATGGATATACTAGTTTAAGGGAGAAAAACCAATGCATAAACAAAGCTTATAGTCCTTCACCTTATGTTCAGCTTAAACAACCGGAGATTGCCAAGAGAGACAAACTGCACATAATTTTTTGAGCCGACCCAAAATGAGAGCATATATAGACCAGAAGATTTCCAACAAAAATAGAAGATAACAAATGTTATGATAACAACAATGAAATTCTACAAAATTAGGGTTAGAATAACTCTGTAGTGGTTGAAGAGAGTCTGCAACTCTCAATAATGGGGCAGCCTCAAGCCGAAGTAAAATTGATCCTTATAGAAAATATGGTCCAAGCCATACAGACTGGTTGATTGGTTGTTATCATAGATGACCCAAAGCTTGATGGTGGGATCATGGACATAAGCCTTCTGCATCAGATCCACCTCCCTTTGAGCCATCATTGATCAAATGGTCACGATAATCGACCTGAAGGCTCTTGGAGAGAACTTTGGAGCCATAAAAACAGAGTGTAAAGAGCAGACAATCAAAGGTATAAAGAGAAGCAAGGAGAAAAAAGGTAATAAAAGTGTGGTGTCAATCCAACCCCTCACCTTTATACACAAAGAATTGAAAAAAGTGTAATCAAGGGTAACAACGGATTTGAATAATAGTTTAAAAAAAAATGCTGACAGAAGGATCACTTCAACACATGAATCAAGATGAGAAATAATAAATTTTATCTCAAGGTAAAATTATTATAAATTATACTCGGAAGCTAATTCGAGAGAAGATATTTCATAAGAGGATCGTTCGCCGCTTCGACCATGATGTAGCCCAACTAAAGCAGTTTTTATAACACCCCCCCACCCAAATTTGTACTGCTTCATCAAATCTATCTTGATTTGAGCTTGAAGTATGAGACATGTATCCCAGATGTTCTATAGTTCCTAGCAAAGAGGGTCCATCTCCTTCTCCCTTTGTTGAATCCCAAACAACTGAGCGAAGGAGTTTTTGATCTCATCCAGTTGGTAAGCAAGCGACCTGAGGGATGTCCAACATTAATTAGTTGCTTCCCCACAGGCCTTGCAGGAATAGCCTAGGTGATTAATCCCACCATTTTCACTCAAGTGTTGGTCACTTCCGACAAGTGCTTAGGCAGCCACATTTGGTGTCGCGTTGGATTCCTATCAACATTTGTCGGAGGGAAGTCATCGCCTAGGTGAATTGGGTTAACTACACCAATAGAAAACATAAAAGAAAGGAGAGCTATATGAAATTAACATCTAACAAGCACAATAGATGCTCCTCATACCAATGAGTCGATCCCACTTAGGCAACATAACAGACATGACATCCTCACCGAGAGTACACAGAGCACATGCAACTTCTTGTACTATGAGCAACAACAAAGAACCAATAACTTCTTACACAATCCGCTTAGTCGAGAAGTTTTATGTTGTAGTTGAGCCAACAAATCTATTGTCAGGATGGCCACCAGAATGTTCCCCCACTAAGGGTCGGGGAATGAATCGAATGAACCTACCTGATCCGCCAACACCACTACTTTTATATTGACGATGATTTTCTTATTTTTTCGCCTTTTAGGAGGTAATGCCTTTGCAGTCTCCCGAAAGCAACATGAAGCATATCTTTGTTGGGGTTCGAACGAGGGATTTGACACATTCTCTATGACAATGCGTGGAAGCCGACCAGATCAGACGAGCAGAGATGCAAAACAAATATAGAAAACAAAGAGTCATGTCATACACTATTTATAAGGACCAAAGACACAAAAATTAAGGGAGTTCAATTATTAAATCATTGATCAAAATAAATAATATCTACTTTTGGCATTAAATTCTAGCATTCTTATCTCATTATCGTTGTAAATAAGAATGGGAATTGAGAAACTAAAATAAGCACATTGAAAGTGTGGCAGCACTGATCTTAAGGAGATCCAACGGTCCAAATGAAAAAAATACAATGAAGAATAAACCACTAACAGAAGATCAGGAGACCCACTTATTCGACTCAGTGTAGCTGTCTGAGCCAAAGCCAATAAGACCAAAGCTATCTGAGTCATGAGAAAGGATTGAATGATTCGAATCAGAGTCGTTCAGTCAAAACATGATAAAGAGACATCTAAGCCAACTGACTTGAAGAAGCTGACTCGAGGGAATTTCTAGCCCTTCGACATCTCCAACCATACGAGGGGTGTCCAGAAGCTCTCTGGTTTATTATCAAGGGCAACAAAACAAATACAACCAACCAACAACGTTGATTAAGCATGGTCAACTGAACTGGCCATGCTAAGCCGAAACCAAAAAAACTCAGTCGACCGAGCTAGAGAACAGTCTGACAGTAGACTCATATCAGTAAAATATCAAGAATATCATGTAGATTACCCAATAAAATAGATAGAAATATGTAACATCAATATATTGCACGCTCTCCCATATAAACAAGGAGATCCTTTAAAGATAAGGAAAGTATATATATATTGATTTGTAGTTGTATATGCCGAGTACAACGCGTTAAATTATGCTGAGTATTTTCACCTTGATGTCCGCAAGTTTCCGTTCTCTCCCGGCTCTGTTTCCAGTGTTTCATCTATCTCTGTGGCGTCTCGAAGCCGCTTTCCTCCTCTCTATATACCCCAATTGCTCCTGATTGGCCAGCCTTCCCATCTTTGCTTCGTCTCGCCAAGAATGAGCTCGCGCTATCGCAGTGTTTAATTTCGCCCATTTAATTGCATTCGGATTTGGATTGTTCCACTCGCAAGTAAGTACTCGTGTCGATCGGCGATGTTGTAGAATTTATGCGTACTTTTGCGGATCGGAGTGCTGGAATCTGGATCTCGTCTCTTTTGCGTTCCTGTTGATGAGATGGTTTCTGCGATGGCTTTTAGATTGATTGGGCTATCGGAAATCAAAGATAGCTGCTAGAGTTCGCTCAATTTTCTCTCTATCATTTCGTCTTTTTGGGAAGAGTATCGGTATTGATTTCTTTAACACTTAGCTTTATTTTGGTTCTTCATAGTCGGAGCTGTGGATGCTTCTGATTTGATTGGATTTTCTTTAATTGTTTGATTTGCTTGGTTCATCTGTTTTGGCTGCTGAGAGCTTATCGCTATCGAAGTTTCCTTTCTTCAATTTGTAAATATTTATTGCGTTCTCCGCTAGACAAAGACTGTGAAATGGGTGGTTTGTATCTGGATAAGTTGAGAATGGCGGATTTTTATCAGGAGTTTTCCATGGCCGTTAGAATGCATGGTTTTTGAGGCGGTAGCAAATAGGCACACTAACCTGTCGGGACGTGATGAAATATATTCATTTATTTCCTAAACTACTTGAATATCCGTTCATTCATGTTTTGTTCTGGTCTTAATAACTTCCTGTTTGTCAATGCAGCAATAAAGAGCTTGGTTGCCATAATCTTTAGTATTGATTGCGGCTCCAGCTGATCTTTGGAACTGGGATTTTCGGTCATTTTAAATAAAAAAAATCTGTTGGCTGAACAGCCATATGACTTTTACTAGAATTTTCATGCAGAAGAGATCTAAGGACTCAAGATCTTTATGAAAATCATTGACCATCCATGGATCTTCTACGTGAACACCTGGCTGCTATAACTATATATACTTCAGAAAACAGCACTACCAATTTGCACGATGTTGAGATTTTTTTAGGTAAGGGTTATTTCTCTGGTGAAATTATTTTTGGCTAAATTAGAGAGAAATGATCAATATTTATTAAAATTTTGAAGAAGTATAATGATCCAACCCTTCCATTGTTTCTTTCTGTTGAAATGTTTATTCAGCTTATTTTATCTGGCAGTTTAATGATTCTCATCTCACGAGTTTCTTGTTATTCATTCATGTTAGGAAACACCCTTTCAGCTCTTTTTTGGTCAAATTTAATTATTGGCATTTCTCCTCTTCCTTCTAGAATGCTCTCTTTCCCAAATTGAGTTTCTTGATGGTTGGGCTTGATGGAAGAAATATTTAACAATCTTAAAATCTCAAAATAATGTCAATGTTGTGGAACTAGATCTGGTTCATTTATTTTAGCTTTGGGAATTACTCGAGATTTTGTCAGGTTAGTACTCATGTCAAGGCAGGATATTGGGTCATTTTAAAGGATGGGAAAAGTAATTTTTTTGCTTAAACAATATGAAAAAGAAAGAAAGAACATGGAAGCAGTCAAACAAGCTAAATAATTTTTAAGTTGCTTATGATTAAGAAAGAGTCAAGCAAACTAGGTACCTGCTTGGCAAATCCTCAAAACCACCTAATTAGTTTTTAAAGGCTCTGATTGTGAAGGAAGAATCAATCTCTTGCCCCTAGACCTGTGGTTTTCTATATATGGTTATTGATGAGGAGCGTGAAACATGAAACATTTCATCTTCAATAATTATTTTGTTGTCATCAAGATTTAATATTTAATGATTAGGCTAGCTCTACATAGTTTGGTGACGGGGGTTGCACATTCCATCATCTTCTTGGTATTGGTAGTCTCTTGTTTGAGGTAGTGACCATGCTAGCTAGAGTGGTGCTTCATATCCTGCTGATCATGCTCAGAACACCATTCCCACCACAGTAGTAGCGGAACAAGGTGTATATACACTCTACGGTGCTTTGAATTGTTTCAGTCATTCAAGACTGTATGTTGATTCATTCCTTACTTCATGCTTGTATATCTAGTTAATCAAGACATTGGCAATTTTTATTTAATTTTACTTTGCCTTTTTAAACACTTGGGAAGTCCTCTTAAGCTCGGGTTATTAGAGCTTATCAAACTAGAAAAAATTGAAATTTTAGCTCTATCATTGGACTTATGAAATTGGCACCACCGTGGCTTGGTCATTCATACCAATAAAAGAACTAGTGTTGTCCCCTCTCTTTAATCCATCACATCCTATCTCTTTATCTCCACCAAAGCAACTCTACTTTTCCAATGAGTGATTGATCTTGGAGAGATGAAAGCTAAGAAGTTGATTACACAAATCCTTGATATATGGTATGTGCTTTTGTCTTCTAAAGCGTTTTTTAAATGGTTCTTATGCCATTTTGGCTCCTCGTTAATCATATCGTTTCATCTTCTTCTTCCATATTTCAAACAAGTATCACAAATTTTTTTTCAAAACTGCGGAAAAACCTCCTCTTCCTTCTCCTTGTGAGCTTGGTTTGTATTTATGATGATATATATACTCATGTGAAAAATTTCTTTGATTTAACAAAAAATTCTTTTGTAATGAGCTTTATTTTGGAAGTGAAGAAAAGAGAATAGATAAAAAATAAAATAAAGTAAAAGTAAGAAATCATGTTGTTTAGAGGTTTGCATTAGTAAACTCTCCGCTTTGTATTTATGCTTCTTTTATTCTTTTAACGTGAAACGGTCTTTGATTATGGGGTCAATGATGCGGTGCTATAAACAATATTTTGGATTGCCAATGTTGTTTACACCTTTTGTTTATTTGAGATATGATCAATGTTGTTTAAATCAAACTGCATTGGCCGGCTCAACCATTTTTTACATGAACTGGTCATATTACCACTCTGATTGCCTATAAGAACAACTACAACATTGAAGTGGTGGGAATTAGTTAGAACTGCCAGTTCAACAGGTGAACTGTTAAATCGGTTCCAATTTTATAAAACCGTTTGTTCAATTTTCATGGTTTTAATCACCATTGATCGATGATCTAATGATTGCAAATAATTAAATCTTATTAATCTTAAAATATGATGTCTTAATTTTAAAAGTTTTCTTTTAACAATGTTTCAAAAATCCAACGGGCAAACTAAATAACCAACATGCACAACCACTAAGTGAGCTACAAGCTCTTTCTTTTCTATTTAAACTTTATAATGTAAAATTTTCCTATGACATGAAAATAAATGAAATATGTGAATGACTACAAAAACAGGAATTGAGCTGCGAGAATTGAGTATCTAATATTATTAAATACATTATAAATTTATTTATATTTATATTTATATGATAATTATTTTTTAATTTTTAAGTAAATTTAACATAAATATTTTACCATTATTTTCTGTTGTGTCTTTTTTAAGTCATATTTAAATATTTTAATATTTATTACATAATTCGGTTCAACACTCAATTCAATTAATGTTCAACCTTTGAATCTTGAACCTCTAATTCTTCCGGGTCGATGTCCAGTCCGATTTTCAAAACTTTGTTTTTGCATGTTTATAGTGTAGGTGAAAATCGTGTGCTCCTTCTCCTTCTTTAATTACATGGTTTTGTCTCACTTTTTATCAATGCACAAGTTGAAGGAGCCACTATAGATTGGTTCTCTTAAAAATTATGCCTTAGTATGCAACAACTCATGAAAGTTGTTGATGGAAAGCTTGCATAGGTACATAATCATGTCATTGTTGATATTGTTTGCATAGGAGTCTGATCTGGGCACATCCGTGCCCTAAACTAGACACATCTGCGCCCTAAGCTGGCAAACCCATTGGCAGGCTTTCACGGGCACAACATCACATCACACTTGATCCTGGAGCTGGTCCCCAATTGAAAACTCCACACAACATCTTCTGTCAATGTTAGCCCTATTGTCCTTCAACCAAGTTAGGGATAATGGTTGAGAGTGTAGTGAGACTCAACTTATCCAGCATCTGTGTAGATACCGCATTTTTACTACTATCTTCATCTATAATAATATTGCAAACATTTTTCTTCACAGTGAATCGTCTGTAAAAAAATATTTTGGTGAAGTCGTTGCTGCTCTCTCGTAGCCTTAGTCTGAATGACCCGTTGAACCACAAACATCTTGCTCTCAACAGTTGAAAGCTGGTATTTTTGCACATCATCACTATTCTCTGTCTCCAACACCACTGTCCACTTCTTCTACTGACCCCTGCCCCGTAAAAGGGACAACTCTGTTAGTAGGGCAAGTGGAGGCGATGTGTCCAAATCCATGACATTTGAAACACTTCCTTGCGAGTGTTGTGTTGTTTGTATTGCTCCTCTCAGGTTTCTTGCTATTATATGATAGGTCTATAATCTTTCTGGACAATTTTCACACCTCCCTTAGGTGCACTCATGTTGGCTCCTCTTGTGGGTGGCTGCCTGAATGAAGTTGGGGTCTTGATCCACTTCTATTGTTTCTCCACCCTCAATGCTAAGGTTTAAACATCACTCTCAATACTACTGTAGTTGGACAACATTGCTAATGGTTGGCTTCAGACCTCCTAAATATCTTACAATAGCGTGCTCCTCCAGCTCTGTCAGCTCACATTTCAGCACGAGCTGCTCAAATTTTGTTGTGAACTCTTCCGCTGACAAGTCTCTTTGTTGTAGGTGGTGGAGCTTCAAGACCATGTCTTGGAGGTAGTGCGAAAGTAGGTATTTCATTTACATCCTCTTCATATTCTCCCAAGTGACGATCTTGCTCCATATTTCTCTCTATCTCTCTCTTTAGATCCTTCCACCATAAAGAGACACTTTTCCTCAGTTTTATGACAACAAGCTTCACTCTCCTAATATCTGAGAACTTATACTAAAAAATCATCTCAACTGTTCGTAACCACTCAATGAAGTCATTCGGATTTATTCTTGAATTGAAATCCTGTAAGTCTACTTTCACTCCCAGGTATCTATGTCCTCAAGAAGTCACTCCATCCCTAAGCCTCTTCTGATATTGAATCCCGAAGCGCCATGGCTTACCATCCTCTCCACTGAAATCTTCCTTATGAAAGGGGTTGTGATTTTTCCCCTTATTTCTTCGGATCTCCCCATCCCGATCTACTTTGATTTCTCATTGGGTTCTTTCATCAATTCCAACAAGTCTTTGCTGAAGTCGGTAGATTTTTTGCTGCATCTCTTTCATGGCAAGTTCTTGCACGGCTTCCAACATTTGTTCCTCGGCGACATGGCTAGCATTTAAGGTTGAGAGGTGAAATAGGGAAAATAATGGAATGATTTATGGGTGGGAAAAAAAATTTGGGTGGCTAATTTTAAAAATCTGCAATATGGAATGATTTTTGGATGTAGTTTAGTTTAGATATTATTGGATTTTGGTAATCCTAGGATAGAATTGGGGTTGGGTGGTAATCCTACGATAGAAGTAGGGTTGGGCTGACTCTGATACTAAATGATATCGTAATTCATTACAAACTAAGGGGAAACCCATATTATTGCTGAATTCAAATCGGAAATTACACTAAGACAATGTGAAAATTTTGAAATTGCAACAAGCAACACAATACTAGCCTTAGGGTTGAATCTTGGGTGTAAGTGGTGTCGACAAAGCGTCGGGCCTCTAGAGAGGTAGCAAAGGGGAGCTTAGTGGGTTGAAATGTGGGACGACAACAAGGGAAAGATGGCAGCAACAACGGGAGGTGAGGAATTGCCAGAACAACGAATGGATTGACCATCCTTGCGGCGGCCGCAACAGGGGAAATGGGCATGGAAACAATAGGAACAACAATGGTTGTCCATCCTGGGTGGCAACAACAAGAAAAGGGAGGTCGTGAGTGATGACAACGAAGTTGCAGGCGGTTTGGTGTGGATGCAACACAGGTGGAGCTGCGAGCCTGTGCGGGAAAGGGATGTGGAAGGGTATCAGAAAGATAAACACCACCTCAAGAAAGAGATATAGTTGGAACACTACTCAGAACTCTTGGATATAGCCCTAGATGGGGAAATGACACAGTGTTGGCTGTCCCAAAACAAGCAGAACGAAAAAACTAACCCTAAACACCAACGAAAACCAATAAATAGTCCTAGATAACTAGGAGTGGACCACACTCCAACTGGGCGGTAAATACTTAGCCTTGGAGGATTGTCACCCTCAGAAGTCTAGACCGAACGGTCCAGGTGCGGAAACGCCTGATTCGCCTGTCCCGTATCACGCGCCCTAGGCATGGACGCCCGCTTCACTTAGTATTCTTTCTCTTCTCTTGACTATTGTACAATCTATTTCTAAACTATTTTAAAATATTTTTCAATTCTCTTAATGAAATCAATCATCTTTTAATGTTTCAAGTTTGGTTCAACTAAAGAATTCTAATTTGCTTATCTTAATAACTTATAGTGAAAGATTAGTAATTTATTATATTTTAAGTTTCATCTTCTTATCCTAGTGCTATTATTTCTTTTGATCATTTTTTTTCTTTTAATATGGACATTTTAAGGCTTTGTGTTGTGTTATTAAAATTTTTTCTATAATTATCTTATAATTTTGCAAAGAATTTTTCTACGTGAAAAGTAATTTGTTTGATATGGTATGGTGGCTTCATTTTTTGAAGTGTTATTCTTCTTTCCTTAAAGCATGTGTTCATTATTACAATATCATATGCTATTATGAAATGAAGTATGGCTTTTCTCATCGTATTTTTTATCTTTTGTCATTCATAAAGTGACTCCCCTTATAGCCTATCATATTAGAACAATTTTGTTAATATAAAGTTAATCTCTCTTTATTTGATGTATAATATAAATCCTTCATGTTTCTCTTCATAGAATTGGTTTTTAAAACTCTCTTAATTTATTTAAGAAGCATATGCTCTGATTATATTTTGAATTCTCTCCACAATAACTATCTTAATATCAGACCTCATTATTTATCTTATTAACTTTTACAATTAATCTTTCAATTTTATGTCAGCCTATATTCCTCTCATATATCTATTGTTAACTTTTCCTGAATATAGTAAACTATAATTAGCCTTCTTTATTTTACTTGGAACTTTCTTGTTTCATTTATTTTCTTACTAATCCTGTTGTCTTCTCAGGTAAAGTATTCAAATTATATGTAGTAAATATAATATAGTTTTAGACCTAGGTAACCCTTCTTCACTTTTAACAAATGGGTTAGATTGTGACACGTCACTTGTGATTTAAGGCTTAAACAAACCCTCAACTATTTTCCAACAATTACGTTGTGGTGTGGCATTTATGGGAAACCATCTAACATCCCCTTGCCCTACTTCTCACCACATTTAGGTTAGGTTGTTGCGTATCATTTCTAGGAAATTCTTTGGATAGAATTTAAATCCATTGCATGAATCTTTGCATAGGTTTATACATCAACCCCTGTGAGTTTTCTCATCTGGGCTTGGGACTGACAATGATGATTGCCACACTTATAAGAACCTAATGATAATAAATCATGATTGACAGGTTACAGTAATTCTTAAGCTCCCTATTTTGCAAATACATCCAAAATTATTTGAATTCCATCGGATGGTAGTTTTAGAGAGAAAAGAAAGTCTAATTGATTTATGCTTTTAGTGTTTCTTTGTTGATTAAAGTTCTCAGCATTTAGATATCCTGCTTGTAAATTATAGTAATTAATTCTAATGTTTTTATAAGCTTCTTTCGAAGAAGCTTCTACCTGGGAAATATTTGATGTACTTTTTATTGCTTTCTGGAGAACGCCTTCTAAAATTTTTTTTCATCAGAGCATGTTTGAGAAAATGGTTCTACATTATTTAATGTTTTTTCGCACCACCCTTTTGAGCTAACTTGCGGTTGTTTTTTCTTTCTTGGCCTAATTTCAGGTAATTATTTTTACAGTTGCAATATATAATAAAGGAGTATAGAATTGTAAGCTGATGGTTATGTATGAGCATGATCCTGATGTCCTCAGATGGGGCTTTGATTTTCTCAACGGTGATCCATTTTCAACCTCGAGCTATTGTGGTGTCACCACTGAAAGTGATGCGAACTTTTATGATGGAACCTACAGTAGAGAAAGTAATTTTGTAACGGATCACACCTCACTAGGGAGTGATGAGATTATGGCACACGCTCTTCAGGAAGAATTTTCGCGCCTTGCTGTTGCAGAAGCAACTAGCCCTGCAAATGTAGGTGAACATTTGCAAGCATCTGCTCTTGCGCAAAACTGGTTTGGTCCAACCATGAACACTTATACTTCAGGTACATAGAAGAATATGAATTACGTAAATGATTTATATATTTTGTTAGTGTTGTTGTGGTGCTTTTCCACCTGAACAATTTTTGTTTTTCTTGCAAGTGTATGAAGATGGTGAGGAGAGTTCAGAAGATACAGACCCCTCTAGTGCATGTTGTAGCCCAGGAGAAATATCACTTGATGGAGATGAGTGGTTATTAGAGCTCACAGAGGATTGTTCAACTATAGATGGTGAACTTGGCAAAAGGTTGAATCTGTTAATTCCAATACCTGTAAGTTCAAATTCCTACTTTGAAATTCTGTAGACAATACTGGCTTCATACGACATTTTATGAAGGAACTCTTGGAATTTTAATTAGCCAATCTACATTATGAAGAGCATGGCCTTCAGTGTTACATTTTATTAACATGATCCTGAGTTGAGGTCATGATACATGCGGAAAGTTATCTCAATCCTAGATGGAAGGATTGCTTCAATATTCTAATATCCATGATATTTTGATGATATTGCTTCCTGTAATATCATGCAGGCTTTATAATTGGCGAAGAAGACAATTATTGTGTGGGAGCCTGCCAAAATTTTATGATGACGGTTTTTAGGAATTAAGTGGTGTGCAAGATAAAGTAATTATAGGTAGAATACTAGAATTGAATAGGCTTAGTCTTGTTTACCTTCTTATTTTTGCCTTTATAACTTCGTCCAGTCTTTTTTTCTTCTCGTGGCTTCTTCTTAAGCAAGTGGAATTTATTCTCGGTCTTCTTTCAATTCTTAGTTGGAGAGAGTTGGGTTTGGCAGATGGATGAGAGGCAGTTCACTTGGAGAAGAGAGGGACACCTAGTGAGGAGAAAGATGTATCCTATTACTGCCGCTATTTAAAGGAAACATTTTGTATATTTTGGGAATTGAGCAGGATAATCTCATTGATATGAAATGGGAGGCATAAGTATAAATTACATGACTCCTAACAAAGGAAAGATAAACTATAGGAAAGATATAAATTAGGAAAGACATATAAATTGGAAATCATAACAAGAAGGAAATATATAAAACAAGAAATAGAGAAAAAGTAAATAAATCAATGCTAATTACTTTTAACACTCTCCCTCAAGTTGAAGCATAGATGTCAATTATGTTCGATTTGGATTTGAACTCGTCAAACAACGGTTGCGAAAGGTTTGTTGTGAGAATATATGTTAATTTGCCAGTGGAAGGAATGAATGCAACAAAAATTTTCTCAGAATCAAGCTTCTCCTTCATAAGATGACTATCAATCTTCACATGTTTGGTACGATCATGCTGAACTGGATTACGAGCAATGTTGATGGCAGCTTTATTGTCACAAAGCGGCTACAGAGGAAGAGAGACAGACATACATAACTTGTGGAACATGATGCGCAACCAAAAGACTTCAATACTCCAATGGACAGACTGAAACTAGGCTTCAACACTGCTCTGGGCAATTACAGACTGTTTTTCATTTTTTTCATTTGACAAGGTTTCCCCACATGAAGAAGCGATAACCTGAGGTAGATAGCCGATCAAGGACGGACCCAACTCAATGGATGTCTGTTTAAACTGCAACTGAGCAAGAGGTGTGATGAGAATACAACAAATTTGAGCCCTGTGCGCCTTTCAAGTAGTGGAGGATACGTGTACAACGGTGAGGTGGTGCTCGTAGGGATCATGCATGAGCTGACTAACAATACCAACGAGTGACAAATGTCTAGGCGCATGTGATCCAGGTAAACGAGTTTCCCCACCAGACGTTGGTAGTGTGGCTTGTTGACCAGACCTTCATGGGGAACGTCTGTCAACTTCTCATTAGGATCCATTGGAACACTTATTAGTTTGCAAAGGAGTAGCTTTATCTTATTCAGTAAATATGTCACATATTTACGCTGAGAAAGGGTAATCCTCCAAGAGGACCGAGCTACTTCCATACCTAGGAAATATTAGAGAGAACTCAAGTCCTTCATCTCATAGGATGTTGTCAAGATGCTTTTGTAAGATTCCAAGGCCGGTCGATCATCGCCTGTGACAATGATTTCATCAACATAGATAATGAGGATGACAATACGGTCATTGGATGAGTGGCGGAAGAACATCGTGTGATCAGATTGGGCCTCATAAAAACCACGACCCACGACAACTTTTATAAACTTTCCAAACGAGGACCGGGGGGATTGGTTCAATCCATAAAAAGATTTCTGCAATCTACACACTTTTCCACAGGAAGAGATTGAGTCAAAGCCCGATGGAAGAGACGTGTTCACCTCCTCTGCGAGATTTCTGTTAAGGAAAGGATTCTTGACATCCCTTTGGAGATAAGGTCAATCCAGATTCTCGAATGATCTTTAGTTTAGCTACCAGAGCAAAAGTCTCATCGTAGTCCACTCCATAGGTTTGTGAATAGCCTTTGGCACCAACTTGCCTTGTTGCGTTCAAAGGATCCATCAAAGTTAAATTTGGTGCAAAAAATCCACCGGCAACCCACTGCTTTCTTTCATCGTGTAAGATCAACAACATCCCAAGTATGATTTTGCTGAAGGGCATTCATCTCATCCATGAAACCTTCCAGGAGGGGTCAGCCAATGCTGCCTCAATAGTTGATGGAAGACAACGACCCGTCAAATAATTAGCAAAAGTTTTGTAAGTCGGTGATAAGCTGTGTACAAAGACTAATTTTAGGATAAAGAGAGCATGCCTGATTGCATATCTCAATGAGGGAATTCAACTCTTTTAGAGTTAGAGTGATCCCCGTAGGTTGAGAGTGTCTTTCCGGGAATGTTGGTCGGAGCAGATTCCAATAGATGCATCGAGGCAGCCGGCTCAAGAGTAGCATTGTGGCAAATCTCACCCGAGGGTTTAGTACGTCGAGTGTAGACACGGAGAATGAATGGTGTAGATGTTGGTTTGGTTGGTGGCGGATCCAGTGGGACAGAGGGTTCCTCGGATTCAGTGGTAGTAGGAGTAGGTAAAATATTCCATGAAGTTGGAAAAGGAACAATGTCTAGAAATTCCAACTCCCCCTCGAGGAAGTGCTAGAGAATTAGGGTACTCTTTCAAAATAGGAGACGTCAGCATTTACATAGTTTGTTGGTGGTAGGACCAACACACCTATAACATTTTTTATTAGCAGAATATCCGAGGAAGATACATTTGATTGAGCAGAGATCAAGTTTACTACGAGTTGGTAGTGTTTCTAACAAAGGCCGTGCAACCAATGGAGAACTGATTGGTAGGAAAACACGACATCAAGATGGATAATGGGGTCCAAAAGTTGTAAATTTTTGTGGGGACTCTATTGATGAGATATATTACAGTAAGGACAACATTATATTGATGGAGGATGCTCTTATTTACCAAGAATTCTCCTAATATAGACTTAAAATACTCAAGGTCATTGTCGTTCCGAAAGACTTGAATAATGGTTTTGAATTGGGTCTAAATGAAGGAGTGGAAATTTTTTAAGGTGACTGTCACTTTATTAGTTATCTTTTAATATATAAACCCAAGTCATCTGAGTATGTTCATCAATCAAGGTAAGGACCCACCATTTATCGATTTAGCTCAAAGTTCGAGAGGGTCCCCATGAGTCACTATGAATCAGTGAAAAAAGAGCGAAAAGAGTGTAAGGGTGGGGTGGACATGGTACACATTAATGTTTAGTTAAATGTCAAATCTCACATTTAAAACTAGATAGATTTTTATTAATAGACATCAAAGGATATTTTAAATAGTGAAAACTGGGATGACTCAACCGACAATGTAATAACATAATATGATATTCATGGATCGGAAAAAAATTACAACTATGAGATTGAGTGTCCGTATCATCAATGCCTTTTTCCTGAAAGAAGTAGATCCCAACTACATGCTTAGCAGTTCAAATCGTCCTTCTTGAACGACTATCTTGAAAGACGCAAACATCAGGATAAAAATGAGCAATGCAATCAAGGTCATATGTCAATTTACTCACCGACAAGAGGTTAAACTTCAGCAAAAGAACGTGTAACACAGATCTCAAAGTCAACTTGACTGAAAGAATACAGACCCTTTAGCTGCAATGGAACTATAGCATCTCTCCTGGAGCACAAATAATATATCGAGAAGACTTGTGAACATCCAGTCTTGTGGTTTGTGGCACCTGAATCAATAAGCCATATAATAGTAGAATCAAAAGCAACGAGTGTCATAAAAATGTTATCTTTATGAGCGTGGGAGGCCGACGGGCGGAGGATAACTGACTAGATATAAACATCTTAATTAAGTGTTCCATCAGACTCTTGATGGAGTATGGTGATTCTGGGATGGTCCGAGTGGGCTTTGGTTGCATAGTCGTGGATTCTGAGGTTGTGGCAAGTCCTTTAGCGGCGGAGGATTTGGAGGTAGACATATTCGATGGATTCCCGTGGAGCTTCCAACAATTGTCACGGGTATGATAAGGTTTGTGACAAAAATCACATGTGGAGTGATTAGCTTGTGACGACGTAGAAGAGTGTTGAGTACTGTTGGAGACCAAGGCTGAAGTTTTAGTTGAAGGAGTGGAGGTGTCAAGCATGACAAGTCTTCGACTTTCTTTCTGGTGAATCTCGGTGAATGTTTGCCCGAGTTGAAGGATTTTTATATATGGGTAGCCCTGACACAGAGGATTCTGGTGGCAGGAGGGACAACTGGCGGCGGGAATTTTGCAGGGAAGATTAGCGGAGGGAATTCTGCAGGGAAGATTAGCGGCGGTAGGCCCTGTAGACGACAGCTTGAAAGGAGATTTAGCCTGTTGGAGGGAGGTGCTATGGCTGGAAAAACTTGCAGGAAGGATCAACTGCTAAAATTTATATGAAACAACGACGGGAGAGCCTGTAGGGAAGCCGCGGGAGGAGGGAGGCCAACGACTAAAAATTGCAAGGGAGGAAGGTCTACAAAACATTCCGACAACAGGAAGAAGGGGCAGACGGCTGAAAAATTCTGCAGGAGGAGAAAAAATGTGTAAGGGAGGGAGGCCTGCAGGAAGTTTTGGCGACGGGAAGAAGAGACCGGCGGCTAGGGTTAGATCTTTGGCAGTACTATCATGTTGATTTTGGGAATTGAGCAGGATAGTCGTATTGATATGAAAGGGGAGGTATAAGTGCAGATTACATGACTCCTAACATAGGAAATATTTAAAAAAGGAAAGACCTGCAAATAAGGAATAAATAAAATAAGAAGAAAATATATGAAAAGGAAATAAATCAATGTTAGTAGCTTCTAACACATTTAAATTTAAACTCCTAAACAAGCTCCATGATCTAGGATTGCCTGATAAGGTGTTAGTCCAATTAGAAAACAAATCTGTAACTAGTACTCGGCCATATGTCCAACCTCCTTAAATTGTGAGGGTAGATTGTTGAAGGACTTGTCATTTTCTTATGACGGTATCACTTGATTTAAACTCTTCATCCTTTCTCTCTTTTGAATAGTTTTTTATGGTTTTTTATTTTATTTTATTTTGGGAGATAGAGAAGATGGTGTTATATCATTGTTCCCATTATTTGATCTGGTCAAGCAAATGTCGCAGCCTTCATTGTTGAAGATATTGAAGAACCTCCTTATCATAACAAAATAAAGTGTTTATAAGACAAATTGAATACGACAAAGTGAGAATATTAAGATGGTTGTGTTGAAAATAGGAAAGTTTGAGTGAGAAATAAACTGTTGGACTAAGTAGCACATATTGAAGATAAGGGATTTACATGTATACCACTCAAAATTTTGGATTTTATCTATTTCGCGCCCAAATTTTAAATATTTCAGTTATATCTCCCGAAACTTTTAAATAAAAAAAAAATAGCACCCCCAGCTAAAATTTCTAACAATGTCACCCCTCACCATCCATTGCTTGCGCCGCCAGCAATCTAGCCGCACCACTGCTGCATCTACTGGCATCCTCTCCTCATCTCATCTTCCTGCTTGTTGGCACCCCACAAGCCTCCCAATCTTCCTGTTCACTGACACACCACAAGTCGCCGCACTGCTGCTATACCTTCCGGCATCTCCTCCTCTTGTCTCTCTGCTTGCCAGCACACCACAAATCGCTCCCCTCACTGTCAATGATGCCTACTACTCTCTCATCTCTCTTTACTTGTGACCAAACCAGCCCCTTCCTCCTCTTTACAGCTTCCTTCTACGCAATCGAACGCCAATGGTAGGCAAGGGCACATGCAGTTGACTAATGCCTTTATCATGGTGCTTGATGGTGTAATATTTAAATTTTTGGTGTGAAATTGGTAAAATTGAAAGTTTTGAGTGCTATGCATGTAAATCCCCCTTGAAGATATTATGGTAAAAATATCTGACTCGGCGTTTTGGGTAATTCATTAATAATGATGTTAAGAATGAAGGCTTAAGCAAATAAAACATTAAATCTAATCTACAAAATACACCAGCTCTTTGTAGGGATTATTACAGGAAAATTCTTGACGTTTACCAGAAATCATGATTCTTATGAAGAACATTGGACTACATTTTGAGCAATAAAATGTCGTTAGATGTACACAAAGGGATTCCATTTTTCAATGTTTGTTTTGAAACATTTGATCAATTGTGAAGGAAATGTGGATTTGTCTCTATTGTTAAGCTGTTTGTCGTCAATTGTCTCATACAATGTGTTTTGGACTTTGCCTCACTACACCATTGGTGTTGGCTTTTTCAATGGGACGTCTTAATTTCTGGCAATTTGGAGAGATTGCCAACCGATGGAAGTCCATAACTGTTTCATTTAAATACTCTAATGCTTAATGTGGTTACCATGATTATAGTATCATGCATTACTTTTACCGTGGATCAAACAGTATGCTCATGTTGACCATCAATGGCATACCAAACTATGCCATGCTAGTTGTACAAACATGCTTTATAGCATGTACCTCTTAGTGTGCCCATTACAGAATTGCAGTACGCTGAATTTTCTGATAACTAAATTGATAGGCGGACAATTTCCCTAGAATAGTTGCGGTACCAATGTATCCTGAATGCATGCATTGCTAAAAAATGATAAAATATTATTTTGGTTGTGATATTAAAAATTCTAGTGATATGCATGTAAATATGAAAGTTTACATGTGAGATATCTAAATACGTAAGAATTGTGTGCTATGAATATAAATGCCCCCTGTTTTAATGTTTTGTCCGTGATTACATGATTACATCAAACCTTAGTAATTCTTTCCGTTTCAGATCATTTGATGTGTCTTTTTTTTTTTACTTGAATTTTAAATTCTTATTTGTTAAAATTAATTTATTTCATCTTGTTGATGGCTTTTGCAGCATGTTCCAAGAATTAATGGTGAAATTCCTTCAGTAGATGAAGCTACATCAGATCATCAGAGGCTTTTAGACAGGTATTCATTGAAGGCTTGGTTCAGCGAGAATTTAAAGAGTATTTTTATAGGCTGGTCATAAAAAAATTGTGACCATGGCTATTCAACTGCAACATATTATGACTATTTGCAATCGCTAAGTATTCAATAAAGTGTTGAAAAAATTCAAAGTGATTGTTGAGATTTGGAATAGAGCGGTACAATATTATTGATAGAATGAGGGGTATTTAAACCTAATTACAATAGGTGTAATAAAGGAAAGAAATGAAACAGAATAAAACTGGGAAAGAAAATAAAACAAAGTAAAGCAAAATAAAAAATACATAATGAGATAATAAGAGCAAACTGAACTGGAATGTGAGCAATGTTGATTGCAACCTTATTATCACAAAATAGCTGCAGTGGGACAGATGTTGACATACTAAGTTTATGGAGCATGATGTGTAGCTGAAGGGCTTCACAAATTCCTAAAGACATGGACTGAAATTCAGCTTCAGCACTGCATCGGGCAACCACAGACTGTTTTTTGCTTTTCTATATGACAAGATTGCCCCATACAAATGAGCAATACCCCATACAAATGAACAATACCTCTAGGTGAAACGTCGATCATGAACTGATCTAGCCCGATCAGCATCTGTATAAACAACAATAGACCGAGAGGTGTAATGAGAGTAAAATAAATCTGAGTCTGGTATACCTTTCAAATAGTAGAGAATCTTGTAAACAACTTTGAGATGTTACTCATAGGGATCATGTATAAATTGACTCACTATTCTAATGCGTGGCATATATTGGGGCGAATATGAGCGAGGTTGATGAGTTTTCCCGCGAGTCGCTTGTGATGAGTCTTGTTGACAGACACAACATTGGGAATGTCATATAATTTTTCATTAGGATTCATAAAATCATAAACGGGTTTACACAGAAGAAAATTATTTTCTATCAAGAGATCAATCACATATTTGCGCCGAGACAGGGAAATTCCCCGAGATGATCGAGCGAATTCCATGACTAAGAAGTACCAGAAAAATCTCGTGTCCTTTATTTCGAAGGATGTTGCAAGAGTCTCTTTAAGGACTCTAATGGTGAGAGATTTTTATTTGTAAGAACAATATCATCAACATTGAAAATAAGGATAGCTACCTGTCAATTGGAGGAATGTCGGAAAAAGAAGTGTGATCCGATTGAGCCCGAGTAAAACTATGGCCTACGATCACCTTTGTGAACTTGTCGAACTATGCCCTTGGGAAATGCTTTAGCTCATAGGAGGACTTTCATAACTTGCACATTTGTCCTCTGGAGGCTGTAAAATCAAAGCCTGAGGGGAGAGACATATACACATGTTCTGCCAACTCTCTATTCAAGAGTGCATTCTTGACATTTAGTTGGAATAAAGACTAATCCAGATTCATGGTAGGATCAAACACCGACAACCCTTTTGAGTTACGCAGTACCTAAGGAATATATATTTTATAGATATGGGATCAAATTTACTCCAAGTGGGGGCAGTGTTTTGAAAAAAGGTCTTGCGCCAAAAAATCTTGGGATCTAATGTGGAGAAGACTCGATTAGTAGGGAAGAATGACTTCAGGAAGGCAAAGGGGATTCAAAAGTTTTGAATCTTAGAGCAGACACTATTTATGAGATAGTTGACAGTGAGAATGACATCATTCTAAAACCGTTTTAGGGCATTGGAGTGAAACATAATGGATCGTGCAAATTTGAGGAAGTGAATGCTTTTTCGATCGGCTACCTCATTTTGTTGAGGGTCTGTATATGAGCTATGATGGAGGATGCTCTTATTTACCAAGAATTCACCCAAAATATAGTTGAAAATTTCACAACCATTGTCGGTCCGAAGGGTTTGAATAAGAGTTTTGAATTGAGTGTAGAAGTTTTGGAATGTCATAGTAACTTCAGATTTGTCTTTTAAAATGTAGACTCGTATCATTCGAGTGTGGTTATCAATTAAGGTCAGGAATCACCTTTTATTGGTTTAGCTAGAAGTGTGAGGGAGTCCCTTTATGATGTTTGGCTAATGAAATGTTTCACAATTGAAGCTAGAAAGATTTTTATTAGAAAAAATTAAAGGATACAGATTGTGCTAATATTGAAAATTAGGATGACCCAACGATAATGCAACAACATAATAGGACAATCAATGACTCGAGATATGCTACAATTCCTGAGTGGTGTCCACACTCTTCGTGCTCTTCACTTGTAAATATTACAGTCCAACTACCTTATTAGCAGTTTCAATCATCATCCTCGAACGAAGATACTGAAAAACACAACCATTAGAAGAGAAATTAGAAACACATTCGATATCATTTATTAACTTGCTGACAGATAACAAGTTACATTGTAATAAGGGAACATGCAAAACATACTCCAGAGTTAGACCGGCTGTTAGGACAACTGATCTTTTACCAGTAATGACATTACAGGAGTCATCTTCAATTCTGATATTATCTTTTCCAAAACAAGGATAGTAAGTCGAGAAACCCTGTGAACATCCAGTCATGTGTTCAGTGGCACATGAATCAATAATCCACCGACTAGAAGAAAAAACTGTGAGAGCCATTGGAAGAGTATCTTGTCGGACGAAGAACCTGCGACTCCAAAAAGCTTGATCAATTGCTCTTGTTTTTCAGGGATTCAATGTATTTCAGGATGTTTTAGATAGGAGTCTGTTGAGTTGTGGTAGGCTCGGACGTCGCCGTGAGACCCTGGTTGCAGAGGATTTGGCCGAAGGTTTATACGCTAGCTTAATGTGAAGTTTCCAATACTTGTCTCCAAGTGTGATTGAGTTTGTGACTGTAATCACAAGTAGGGTGACTGGTTTGAGATGACATGGACGAGTGTTGAGCACTTTTTGAGATCAAGGAGGATTATTCGGCTGAAGGAGTAGAAGTGTCGAGCAAGACAAATCTCTGGTTTTTTTCTCGATGAATCTCGGTGAAGGCTGCTCGTGCGGAAGGAAGTGGATCCTGACTAAAAATACGGCATCGCCCTTTGTCAAGGTCTTTGATAAGACCACCCAGGAATTGGAACATGCGATCCATTTCTACAATCTTCTGGAAGAGGGATAGGTCTGTCGGAGAATCCCAAGTTTAGTCGTAGTACAAGTTGCATTCAATCCATAATGCAATAAGGCCTTGACCGATGTTTTGCCTCCCGGATTTTCTTAGATACCTCATAAAATTGGTCAGAATTTTCTACATCCAAATAAGTATCACGGACAATCGTCCAGAGGGTGCCAACTGAGGGGAGGAACATATATGAACGACTAATCGAAGTCTCCATGGAGTTGATCAACCACGACATGATCATGGAGTTCTTCACTTCCCAAGCTTCATATGACAGTTCAATTTTTGGAGGCTCGCGAACCATACCTGTGAGGTAACCAAATTTTTCACGTCCTTTGATGAACAAAGACCGCTTGGGACCATTGGAGAAAGTTATTATCATTTAGTTTATGGGTTGTGATTAAGAAATTCATATTGGTTTCTAATCCTCTGGTATGCAAGGGAGTTTAAATTTGGGTTGATCCCCCGGTGTAATCAAGAACACCTTCTGAAGGTCGTTTAGAGTTGGAGGAATCCGTCATAATTCCGACCGAGCCAAAGGAGATGTGGTTTTGAGCCATCGATGAATTCTGATAGGGTTACGACAGAGGACTACAAGAAACAATGGTTGATGTAGAGAACAGTAAGAAGGGGACTCAGATCCAGAACTATAGGAAACAACAGCTGCACGGGGTAGCAGGAAACAATGGCTGCCGGCTGCTGGATAGAGGGAAGAAGCTTGTTGAATCATCAATGGCTGGATCAGAGGGGACCGATAATTGCATAGGGACCGACAAAAAGTTCATGCGGCAGCTGGAACACCGACGGTTGCAGGGAAGTCCGGCGGTTGCTGTTACTTGCGGCTAGAACATAAGGTTCATGCAGCTGTTGAAACCAGCAGAGAACGCCAACGACTAGGAGGTGTCGGCTGCTGGAACCGGGAGGAAGCTGGTGGCTGTTGGATCTAGGGTTAGGCTCTGATACCATGTTGAGATTTGGAATAGAGCAGCACCATATTATTGATAGGAGGGGTATTTAAACCCAATTACAATAGACATAATAAAGAAAAGAAATAAAATATAATAAAAAACCGGGAAAGAAAATAAAATAAAGTAAAACAAAATAGGAAATAAATAATGAGGGAATAAGAACAAATAAGAAGTATTAACGGCTAGAGATTGTCATTATAATCTAATAATAATAATGTGTTTATAGTGATCATTTTTCAACAAGAGTTGATTGACACTATATTATGTATATTCTCAATATAAAAATATAAATAATCACATGATTAATCTATTGCATCCTAGGGGCATAAGCACAAATTTTAAGGTATTTACTCAATTTTAAAAAGCTTAAGGATTAACAAAACTAACTAAGAGGTGGTTTGATCTATAGAAAAACCAATGTATTGTAATTATTTTGCATGGGTTTTAAGAATTGTAAGTACAGCGTAGATTATGACCGAATTTAAAATACATTTTATAGTTCATTTTCTCAGTATTTAGATTTCGATCGATTTGACTGATTTCTAAATTCATACTTTTATGTAAAGTGCTGCTGCCTTTCGCCGCCCTCCATCAAACAACGACCTTCACCAGATATTGGATGTTGCTCGCCTGCCCGCCGCATTTACTGACCTCCTCCGCCGCCACTGTCGCTGGTCATATCCCATCACCAGTCGCTGCACACTGCCCACTGCCCAAATCTGTTTATTTATTTCACACTGAATCAAATAACTCCAAAGTAACCTAAATACAATACATTACCCTTACATTTCATTCATTTTACATTGCGTTACTTTTTCAGCAAATCAAGCAGCCCTTAACTTATTTTGTTTTTCATTTATCAGATAATTTCACTTCAAGCATATGATTAAATATCAACAATCGAATTAAGAAAATGAGCCTGACTATTTATTCAAGTACAATGTTTATTAAAGTGAATGGC